CAGGTCAGGCAAATCATCGTTCGCTTCTTGCGCCCTTGCGCGCGATCTCCATTCCAGCTAAAGACGGTAAAGGGCCGCGTGCACTGTAGAGATGGAAGTGTTAGTATCGAATAGCAAAGATATAAGGAGCAGGCAAGTGATGAGGACATACCAGTTTACATTGGTCGCCATGATCCTCCTTGAGCATCTTGACGTATGGATTTTCTGGCAAGCATTTTTCACACACAGAGGGGAAGTCGGTGGACTCCCACCCGGAACGGTTGAGGTCTTGCTTGATTTGAGGAGGCATTTTGGCGGCAGGAAGTCGGGTGGCGCGTAGTTGGATGCGGTCTTCAGGTTGCCACGCTCTGATCGCAATAGAAGATGTTTCCAAGTTTGATACTGTATGGGTCTGATTAGATATCTCTAATCGATAAGATTCTACGGTTGATGACTAACCCAGAGAATGTGCTTCGCTTTCCTTCGCTCTTGCTTTCACATGCTCGGGTTCGTATTCGGTCGAGGTAAAAAAAAGTAAACACACCGCCTGCCACAGATGGTGGGGTGGTCGAACCTAGTCCTAAAATGAGTTTTCCCCCACCCGCCCGCATCAAAGGAGTAGCCAGAGATTGGATGCCGCTATCAATTGCGATCCAGGGGTAGCTGAGGGTCCTCGAATTCGGTTTGATCGAAACTTCCCGGTCTGCAGAGAGTTTGGAATTTTGGCTGGCTTTCCCGCTTCTTTTCCTTTCATCTCTGATCCTCAACCCATTGACAATACTGTCAACGCACCTCTTTGCCTTGGTTCCCACTAGCCCTTCAATTGGTCCCGTAATCCTTTGTCTCAAAGCATTCAACATGGCTGGTTCATCGACCACATCCGGCCTCGAGCGCGAGGATCACAGCCGTGATGCCGCATTTAACAAGGCAATGCACGGCAAATCCGCTCAAGCTCGTGGTGGCATCTCTGCCATGTTCGCCAAGGGTTCCGGCGCAAAGCAGGCTGCTGTTGACGAGTATTTCAAGCATTGGGATGACAAGGCCGCCAAGGACGAGACGGAGGAGACCCGTGCTGTAGGTTCCAATCCTGACACCTCTTCAATTCATTGAGACTGACTCCTATTGCGATTGATTAGGCACGAACAGCCGAGTATGCTACTCTGACCCGACAGTATGTTCCACGAATCCTACGATACAAATGGAGGGGCTCTGCTTTGCAATAAATACTAACAGTTCAACTAGCTACTACAATCTGGCCACTGATCTGTATGAGTACGGCTGGGGTCAATCTTTCCACTTCTGTCGATTCTCGACTGGTGAGCCTTTCTACCAGGCCATCGCGCGCCATGAACACTACCTTGCCCACTCTATGGGCATCCAAGAAGGCATGAAGGTGCTCGATGTTGGCTGTGGTGTTGGTGGACCTGCTCGTGAGATTGCCAAGTTCACTGGCGCTCACATCACCGGTCTCAACAACAACGATTATCAGATTGACCGTGCCACCGCCTATGCTGCCAAGGAGGGTCTTTCTGGCCAGCTCAAGTATGTCAAGGGTGACTTTATGGTAAGAAATTCAAATCCCCACATGTTCATGCAATAGTATAATTCTAACATGTTGTCAAACAGCAAATGTCTTTCCCTGACAACTCATTCGATGCCGTGTACGCTATTGAGGCTACCGTCCACGCCCCCACGCTCGAAGGCATTTACAGCGAAATCTTCCGTGTGCTCAAGCCTGGCGGTGTCTTTGGAGTCTACGAGTGGCTCATGACGGACGAATATGATAACAATAACCTCCACCACCGTGAGATCCGTCTTGGTATTGAGCAAGGAGACGGTATCTCCAACATGTGCAAGGTTTCCGAGGCCCTCGACGCCATGAAGGCTGCTGGCTTTGATCTCCTCCGTCACGAGGATATGGCTGACCGGCCTGACCCCTTCCCCTGGTACTGGCCTCTGTCCGGTGAGATGAAGTACATCCAGTCCGTCTTTGATGTCTTCACCATCGTTCGCATGACCCACTGGGGACGTGCGATTGCCCACGGTTTTGCAGGTGTCATGGAGACCCTGAAGCTGGCCCCTGCTGGCACCAGAAAAACTGCCGACAGCCTGGCCCTGGCTGCTGACTGTCTAGTTGCCGGTGGTCGTGAGCACCTGTTCACGCCGATGTACCTGATGGTTGGCCGCAAGCCCGAGAGCAAGTGAAAAAGCATTTAGATGTTCGTTGATTTCGAGCAATGTATGGCGCAGCATCCAATACCTATAATTGGGAGGGGCAAGGGTAAAATATCTGGGTATTTTGAGAACCAAAAAAAAGGATGAAACTACCTACGATTTATGCAATTCCATCATGGACTTCTTTTAATAATCATAATACGTATCAACTACCACTTTATCTAACGAGGCATCATGTCGAACGTGCATGTCGAGCGGACTATCAATGCCCGCACAAGTGCCGTGTTTAACTGCGAACGGTTCCTTGCAGCAGTGACCAACAGTGTCTGCCCATTGTGGTAGGCGGTGGCACTTGCAGTCTGGCCAGTGGTTGATAGGGCCCGGGCGAGATTGGCCGATCCCCAACAAATGCTTGCCAGCTTAGTGGGGGGTCTCGGATTGATTTGTTCTGACGGTACCTTCAGGCGGCAACTCCTGCTGTAGGTACTTGCTGGCCGTTGGCAGAAAAAAAGCTGTGAGATAGCAACCACCAATCAAGTCAAGCTTTGGCTTCAAAACCTGCGGCGGAAATTCCCTCCTTCTTAGGTGAGGTTCCATCAAACCAAAAAAGTGCTCTAGCTTCTCAACACCACAACCTCAATCTGGTGTCCCACGTCAAGGTCCATCATTTCCAACCCATCCCTTCCATACCGACGCAGCTGCAGTTGAGTTGGTGGAAGCATTGACCTTTTGCTCGTCTCCTTTTTGGTCTCCAGTCTCCGTCCTCTTCACCTCGCCCGTCATGTCCCGCATCCTCCGACCTGCAGCTCGCCTGGCTGCCTCGACGCGCGCAATTGCCCCCCGAGCACATGTAACCCAGCCCATTGCACAGCTCTCGCGCGCCGCCCTCGCCCGAAATGCCTACTTTGGAGCTGCCCAGACCCGAGCCTACGCCGAGGGCTCAGGGGTCAAGGAGTACACCGTCCGAGACGCCCTCAACGAGGCTCTTGCTGAGGAGCTCGAGTCCAACCCCAAGACCTTCATCCTGGGAGAGGAGGTTGCCCAGTACAACGGCGCATACAAGGTCACCAAGGGACTGCTGGATCGCTTCGGCGACAAGCGAGTGATTGACACCCCGATCACGGAGAGCGGATTCTGTGGTCTGGCCGTTGGTGCCGCTCTGAGCGGTCTGCACCCCATCGTATGTATTCGTCCCCCTCGGAGAGCGTACAGTTCTCAGTTGAGCTAACAGGAAAACTCCAGTGTGAATTCATGACCTTCAACTTTGCCATGCAAGCTATCGACCAGATTGTCAACTCCGCTGCCAAGACCCTCTACATGTCCGGTGGTATCCAGCCCTGCAACATCACCTTCCGCGGCCCCAACGGTTTCGCTTCTGGTGTTGCTGCCCAGCATTCCCAGGACTACTCTGCCTGGTATGGCAGCATTCCCGGCCTCAAGGTCGTCTCGCCATGGAGCGCTGAGGATGCCAAGGGTCTTCTCAAGGCCGCCATCCGTGATCCTAACCCTGTCGTTTTCCTCGAGAACGAGCTTATGTACGGCCAGTCCTTCCCCATGTCCGAGGCTGCCCAAAAGGACGACTTCGTCATTCCTTTCGGTAAGGCCAAGATCGAGCGCTCCGGCAAGGACATCACCATGGTTTCCATGTCCCGCTGCGTTGGCCAGACTCTGGTCGCTGCTGAGAATCTGAAGAAGCAGTACGGGATCGAGGCCGAGGTCATCAACCTGCGATCCATCAAGCCCCTTGACCTGAACACCATTGTTGAGTCCGTCAAGAAGACCCACCGCCTTGTCGTCGTCGAGTCCGGCTACCCTGCCTTTGGTGTCTCTGCTGAGATCCTTGCTCTGACCATGGAGTATGCCTTCGATTATCTTGATGCTCCTGCTCAGCGTATCACTGGTGCCGATGTCCCTACTCCCTACGCCCAGGGGCTGGAGGAGATGAGCTTCCCCACCGAGAAGCTAATCGAGGACTACACCGCCAAGATCCTCAAGCTGTAGACTTGACATTTCTGGTGGACATACAGTTGGAACATATTACAGACTAATACGAGAGTTGGTTCAGGGGGTTTCTCGCCGCTGGTGGCTCACATCACTAATCACCGCGACTGGAAATGAACAGGAGTGGGTAAGTCTCTGAGGACGAAAATAACGCGGACTAGCGATTTCTTTGCATACTTCGCGACGAACTCGAGCCTCTTTTTATTGTTAGACGGGACGGTTGGGCTGGGATCTGTATTTGTATGCCTTTTTTTCTCCTTGTATTCACCGTCCAAGTAAAAACAATTTTCTAGTGACTGCCACAACTGAGTTCAGACGAGGATGCTAGGACCGAGTGCCTTTTGTATTACCTTGTGCTGTTCTATAGATGCCTAAAGATAGTGCGCGTTTCTATTACTGCTGCTGTAATTTAGAAACTCATGATTAGACGTGTCTTTCGCCAGGCTCGTGGGTACCAGGTATGGAAAGCATGTGAGGCCGAGCATTGCGAGCTCGTTTTAAGACAAAGCACAGAGCGCCCAGCTTAAATTAGTTTTAATAAATAAACAAGAGTTTATATTCTTTTTTCCTTGTTGATTGAGTAGACTCATGTTTGGAAATCAATCGGTGTTTTTCCCACTTGAGCATTGTAGATGGTTAGTTTGTCTGTTTGTCCACAGGGTAGGTTGGTGACCGTGAACTTGGGGGTGCTACTTCTTTAGAGGATGAAGCGTAGAGGCGGGGCTCCACCACTCAACAGTCACCACCTCTAGCATTGAAAGCACGAAGCCTGGGGCATCCACTTCGTCCACTCGTCATCACCTCCCCCAAACCTGCAGAAAGAGAAGGCAGGAAGAAAGGGAGTCATGGGCGGTATCGACGATCTTATTCTGCGGGAGCAGGCTGGCCAAGGTCTGCTCAAGCCCTCATCAGCCCCGCCAAAAGACCCCGACCAACTGAAGCGTAAGCTTGAGGAGCTGTATCTGTCGCCCTCGACCGAGTTCTCAGAGGAGTGGCTCAACCGGCTCCAACAGCGATGGGAATTTGAGGCCGACTACACATCACTCTTTAAAATCGCACCAACACAGACTCGCACTGTCACTCGGTTTCTGAGGCATGGGCTCGAGGGTAGGGTCACGGGCTACAAGAATGTCACGGTTTCTGCAAGCAGTGCTACGGCCAAGAACTCAACGAGCTTGTTGAGAAAGCCAGCTAATCGAGCTGATTTCGTGAGAGGCGCTGCCGGCTTCTTCCCTTTCGCCCCGGGAGGTTTGGATAGCATCGAAGCGACAGCAGCCCTTGAGGACCAAATCCACATTGGAGGGGACGTTGATGGGAACGGGGAAAGCGCTGGCCGAGCCAAACTGGACAGAGTCATTCAAGTCGGAAATGAAGGACGGCTGCTCGAAATTGCCCCGGGACTAGACCGCGGAATAGACTTCTCCAAGAAACCACAGCAGAACCAGGATGATGCAACTGCTATCAAGCAAGTACTGGAGGAAGAACCGGAGGATGTCAGTGATGAGGACCGATCCAAGGATGCGTCCCCAGGTAGCACGCCTGATGCTGTTGCTGAGGAGGAGGAAAACGGAGACGATATCGATGACATCTTGCCAGTCGAGTTCCCTTCGCTGGAACCACATGGAATCCTTGCAGCATCTAGCGCTAGAAAGGCTGGACGCGAATGGGCGCACATGGTCGACATCAAGCACGAGATGACCAATTTCCGAGAGCTCGTTCCAGACATGGCAAGAGAATGGCCATTTGAACTTGATACTTTCCAGAAGGAAGCCGTCTATCATCTTGAGAGCGGTGACTCTGTCTTCGTTGCGGCTCACACGTCTGCAGGAAAGACAGTCGTCGCTGAGTATGCGATTGCACTGGCAGCCAGGCACATGACCAAGGCCATCTACACATCTCCCATCAAGGCTCTTAGCAATCAGAAATTTCGCGATTTCAGGCAGACATTCGATGAGGTCGGCATCTTGACTGGAGATGTCCAGATCAACCCTGAGGCTAGTTGCCTAATCATGACTACCGAGATCTTGCGGAGCATGCTCTACCGCGGAGCCGATATCATTCGAGATGTGGAATTTGTCATTTTCGATGAGGTTCACTATGTCAACGATTTCGAACGTGGTGTTGTATGGGAGGAAGTTATCATCATGCTGCCAGAGCATGTATCTCTTATTTTGTTGTCCGCTACGGTGCCAAACACTTACGAGTTCGCCTCCTGGGTGGGTAGAACGAAACAGAAGGACATCTACGTGATTTCAACACCAAAGAGACCAGTTCCACTGGAACACTACCTCTGGGCTGGGAAAAACATCCACAAAATCGTGGACCATGAGAAGAGATTTATTGAAAAGGGTTGGAAGGATGCTCACTCAGCCTACCAAGGCAAAGAGAAGGAGCCCCCGGCACAAAACACAATCGCAACGAGAGGTGGTAACCCTCGCGGAGGACAGCGAGGTGGGCAGCAGAGGGGAGGACAACAACAACGCGGTGGGCGCGGCGGAGGCCAGCAGAGGGGCGGTGGCCAACAAAGAGGACGAGGAGGGCCTCCAAGAGCAAGCCATAATCCGGGCCACATGGGACGTACTGGCCGTCCGGGAGGGTTTTCGTCCGCTGCACAGGATAAAAACCTTTGGGTCCACCTTGTCCAATTCCTTCGCAAGCAAAGTCTGCTGCCAGCCTGTATTTTCGTCTTCTCCAAGAAGCGCTGTGAGGAGAATGCCGATGCTCTGAGTAACCAAGACTTCTGCACAGCCTCCGAGAAGAGTCACGTTCACATGATTATCGAGCGATCAGTTGCACGTCTCAAACCAGAGGATCGCCAGTTACCTCAGATCATTCGGCTCAGGGAACTTCTTGGCCGTGGTATTGCTGTTCACCACGGCGGTCTGCTGCCCATTGTCAAGGAAATCGTCGAAATCCTCTTCGCAGAGACTCTGGTCAAGGTGTTATTTGCTACGGAAACGTTTGCCATGGGTCTCAACCTGCCTACTCGAACCGTGGTCTTTTCGGGTTACCGGAAGCACGATGGACACTCATTCAGAAACCTCCTTCCCGGAGAGTATACGCAAATGGCGGGACGTGCTGGACGAAGAGGTCTGGACACTGTTGGATCCGTCATTATCGTCCCGCCAGGAGCCGATGAAGCACCCCCGGCGGCAGATCTGCGCCACATGATATTGGGCGAGCCATCAAAGCTTCGGTCACAATTCCGTCTGACCTATAACATGATTCTTAACCTCCTCCGAGTCGAGGCTCTCAAGATTGAGGAGATGATCAAACGAAGTTTCTCCGAGCACGCAACCCAGCAATTGCTTCCGGAACATGAAAAGGATGTGAAGCTGGCTCAGGCCGATCTTGCCAAGGTCAAGCGAGAGTCATGCCCCGTCTGTGACGTGCACATGGATGACTGCCACCAGGCTGCGCAGGATTACAAGCAGCTCACATTCGATCTATACAGGGGACTGTTAAATATTCACATTGGCCGCCGAATGTTCTGCCAGAGCCGACTAGTGGTGTTAAACTTGGAGGGTATCCGAACCGCCGGTATCCTCCTTGGTGATGGGATGAGCTTAAAGGGGACGTCCGACGAACCAACTGTTCATATCTGTACCATCAAACCTCTTAGAGAGAAGCGAGATGCCTCTGATCAGTTGCCGTTTATTCCGCCATTCAAGAAGTATCTACACAAGCTACCCCAAGGCAAAAGACGAATCAAGATCAAGACTCTGCACGTCCCCTTGGGTGATATCGAGTGTCTGACCAGATGGGTGAGCAAGGGGATCGTGCCCGAAATCTTCCAGGGAGGTGAAGCATCCGTGAAGGCCGAAAAGAAGTTACAAGAGATCTGCACTGCTTGGGACGACAGATGGGATGAAATGGATTTCGGAAAGGTCAAGAGTCTGCAGCTGCAAGAGATGGTGGAAAAGCGTATAAACCTGGTCAAGGTTATTGATGCTTCGCCTTCCGTGAAGTGCCCGAGCTTCTTGAAGCATGTGAGTTCACACCATCCCCCTCAATTCTATTGACTTTGTTGCATAATAAAAAAACCAAGGCTAATATCGTACTTTAGTTTGCTATGTGTCATGACGAGTGGCTCATTAAGGAACACATTTCCCAATTGAAGCAGTCATTATCAGACCAAAACTTGCAGCTTTTGCCTGACTACGAACAACGTGTTCAGGTGCTCAAGGAACTGGGCTTCGTCGACGAGGCAACGAGAATTCAGCTGAAGGGCAAAGTGGCTTGCGAGATTCACTCGGGTGACGAGCTCGTACTGACGGAATTGATCCTTGACAACGTGCTCGCTGACTTCGAGCCTGCCGAAATCGCCGCCTTGCTCTCCTCTTTTGTATTCCAGGAGAAAACGACTGTCGAACCCGTCTTGACCGGCAATCTTGAGCATGGAAAAGCGACTATTGTAGCCATTTCCGAGAAGGTGAACGAGGTTCAGACCCGACTTCAAGTCATCCAGTCTGCCGACGATTCCAACGATTTCACCTCTCGCCCACGCTTCGGCTTGATGGAGGTTGTCTACGAGTGGGCCAGGGGGATGAGCTTCAAGAACATCACCAACCTGACTGACGTTCTGGAGGGTACCATTGTGAGGACTATTACACGACTTGACGAAGTATGCAGAGAGGTGAAGAATGCAGCCAGGATCGTGGGAGACCCTGAGCTTTATCAAAAGATGCAGACTGCACAGGAGATGATTAAACGGGATATCACTGCTGTGGCAAGCTTATATATGTAGACGAACGTTATGAATTCAAAAAACATCTTGCAGTCTATCTGATTGCAAGTGTAGCTAGTAGACTAGCTTGGACATGCATGTCTTTATTTATAATACCTGAGAAATGTATCAGGGAAAAGAAAAAGAGATTGTTTCGGCTATAGGCAAAAGAGAGAATGAGCCAAACCCACCCTTTAGAGTAGTAATAAACGCTCAACGCCGACCCATGTAAAAAGAAAACACCACCCCCAATAAGCATTTGCAATCAACCATATCCCATAATCGTCGTGCCAGCGCCAATACATCTATAAACACAGTGTAGGTGTACAGGTTTACGCACGCAGGGCACGAAGTCTCTGCTGAAGCCTATCCTCCTCCTCGGCCGATGGCTCGTTGGCTTGGGCAGGCTCGGCGGTGGAGGGGGTAGCCTGGTTGAGTTCCTTGCTGAGCTCGAGACCCGCGTCGTCGGCGAGTTTGCCGAGCAGCTCGTGCACGGCATCCTCAGGGACCTGTGCGGATGTTGACTGTGTCATGGCGTCCTGGTATATGCTGTTGGACATGGCGTATTCCTCGTTTTGCTGCTTGAATTGCTCGAGCGTCACGAGGGTCTGGTTTCAAATGTTAGTCCGGCTGATCAAATAGACCAAAAGCGAAATATAGTAGGAATTGTATTACCTTCTCAGGGTTCGAGTTCTTCTGGGCGACGTTCATGACCCTCGATGACTGGCCCATCATGTGCGTCATGCGATTCATCGCATTGTTGGCCTGGATCTGCGATGACTGGAGTTCGGCCATGTCGGCGACCTGATCCATCTGCTGGGCGAGAGCCTGCTTGGAAAGGAGAATCTTGGCCTTTTGGTAGGCCTTCTGAGTCTCTCCCTTCTTGAGCAGCTCCTGGATCTGCTTCTTGAGGACGGGATCCTGCTTAGCGGCCTTTTGTGCCTCGCGACGGGCCTGCTTGGCCTGGAAGCGGGCCTGGAACTCGACTTGCATGTCGCGGGCCATCTGGCGGTTCGACATGATGGCGGCGAAGGGCTTGTTACGGGGGAGGGGTCTGGCTGTGATGGAAACGAACGGGTTTTCTGCTGGGCGAGAAGTCGATATGGAGGGATGGCGATGTGGAGTGGGCAAACCTGATAAAGAGGAGGGGCGTGACGCAACTGGAGGGTCTAGGCCACTGGTTCCGGGCTGTGGCTGAACAGGCTGCAGCATAGCCACACTTCTGGCTTTAGGCCGGCCAAGCCACAGAAGGCAGCGACATGATGTCAGGAGGAGAGCGTCTAACTCTGGCGTCGTCATAGAGAGATGGGTAGCTCGACAATTTCCATGAGTCCGAGACCCGGGAATTTGGATTTCCATTCTTACCCAAGCATAAGTCAAAATGGTGCATGTGCCGAAGAAGCTGAACGTGCAGAGTTTCCCTCGCCCGCCGCGCCTCGAGCAGATATCGAGACGTATCAGGGTCACTTGGGAAGGGCAAGAAATTGCAAATACAGAGAATGCCTACTGGGTGCTGGAAACGCACCACCCGCCAAGTGCGTCTCACTGACTATTCCATCTTTTGGGCCTGGGGATGGGGGGAGACAGTAGCGCGGTAAATCGAAACATTGAAGAATTGTAATAACCTGATCAATAGCTTACTACCTCCCGCCCTCCTCCATCAAGATCTCTCTCACCCCGACGGATAGGCAAACCTGGTGCGAGTGGAAAGGTGCGGCAACTTATTACAGCGTTCAGTCCCCGCTGAACGGAAGCGTCGTGTCGAACCGCATCTGGTCGTACGAGCGTCCCACGGAGGGCTTCGCGGCCATCAAGGGCTATGTGTCACTGTACGCGGGCCCATGGGAGTGCTTTGTGGACGGAGAAAAGGTCCAGGCGCAGCCGGGTGATTTCTACGGAGGGTGGGTGACCTCGGAAGTTGAGGGAATCATCAAAGGCCGAAACGGGAATTGGGATCCCTTGTGAAGGGCCTTGGCTTGTAGATGGGGATATCGGAATTGCTGGAAAGACGGCTGATATGTACTAATAGCCACTCCTATCTTGCTCGTGTGCTCTCTGATTACTGACAGGAATCCCATGAGGGTTGTGTCTGTTGTAAAACCAATTTCAAGTGTCCCTGTTACAATGATGAAACAAACGGTGGGAATCCTTCGGGTCCCACGGTAAAATGAGTTGCACGTTCCCGGAGGACCCTTTCGGCATGAGGCGAAGCACCCGAGACTGCAACAGGCAGCACCGCCTGAATCTGGATTCAATACACGCTCGCAATGTGGAGGAGTTGCTTCGGAGATGAATGTCATGGATCAATCAAATTACGACGACAAATTACGACGACCAAACGGGCCGGATCCTCCGTGGAACTCTGTGAGGATACGAGAATCAACCTATTTGGTTGCTCGGGGCCGGCGGAATGCTAATACCTCTCGTGTTTGGCAAACTTAGGCACCAGAGGGACGGCGCGTGGATGGAATGAATAGCCCGAGCGGGATCTTCGAGTGATCCTTCCTTCTATCTCGGGGCCATCGGAGACTCGCGCGTCCTCCAACTCACCTAAAAAGGGAGCTTGGTGGGCGGGCCGCCCTTTGGCAAATCATCCGGGCCGAACAGGACCATTGGGTGGCCATGATGATAGTTTTTGCTTAGCTTCTTGTATACGCAGCTATCATCGCGTTATCAACCCGCCAAATGGGTGACCGATCCGGTGTGATTATTCTTGGACAAGGAGCCAGGGCTCCGCGATTGATATCAATGCCCCTGGCCTTTGATTGGTGTTCAACATTAGCCCAAGGGTGATTATTGTTACAGTAGCACAAACTAGTATTACATAGAGTTGAAACAGGGGCTTCGTCGCGTGCTGAAGATCTTGTCTTGCGAACTTAATACATTGTTATTGTTATTATTGTTATTGTTATTTTTACCCCTTCTATTCTATCCTTCTGAGAGTTTGTGGTCTAAGGTTGGTTGGAAGTGAATCCTGCCGCTAGACTATTGTTGCTACCTTAATCTGTATGTAACTTGCCCTGACCCTGAGGAATGCGGTCCTCCCTCCACTCACAAGCTGGTTGGCTGGCTGCTATGGGGCGGTAGAAAGCTCTGGACTCATGGCGTGGTCGATGGATGATGGGATGGATCTCGGATTGTCGGTGGCTAATTAACTAGGATTGGGCACTCCTGAATATGGAGAAGCCCGTAATGGTTACAGGGCTCGTAGCATGTCGGGTACGAACCCCACTGCATGATCTTCGGCGAATCCTGCTATGGCTTGAGAGGCAAGGAGGAGACTTGAGTTGGCGGCTAATGCACCAGAACGTCAACAAGACGAGCCAGAAACTCAGCACAATGGGAACAGTGGGAGGAGATCAGCGATCAATGTGCGTATCTGCAACATTAGATGCCCCTAGTGCTATGAATAGGAATACTATTTATGCAGTGCATAAAACACGCCCACTTGATGCAGTAAGAATGCTTAACTGTTGGTGGCTCAGCGGCAGACGGTCCCATCGTATCTTATCAAGCATCGACCGACTCACGAGCTAAAATACCGTATTGGTGCGCGGATTGGATCCGACGCACGCCATAATTGAACCTTCCAGGCAGTATCTTGCTGCGCCCGTCCCTAGGTAAGGCCCCAGTGTGGTGCCAGCGCTGACTACGAGCGCTAGCTCTGCTGCTCAGGCCTATCATGCCCATGGCTCGCACAACATGCGGCGGCGTACGTAAGCGTGTGCTGTTCGTGGCTGTTTGGGCGGGGACGCTGGCCAAGTTCCGAGTGGAAGTTTCTAGGCTTCAGCTTTTTGCACGAGAACCCACGGTCATGGCGGCCCCCCTGCATCCGAAAGAGTAAGGTGCCGGTAGGTAGCAGTATAGATTAGCCGTGAGTGCTGGAGCAGGTACTGTGATAGCGGTCAGGAGGTGCTCAAGCCCTCCACTACGATGAAAGGAAGCACGTAGGTACATCCTCACAGACTATCCTCCCTCAGACACGTTGGCAATGGAACGAACGTCCACCAATCAAGGCGGGTCGCTAGGAACAACGGCCCCCACTGGGGGCCGGTAAGATGCTCAGCCGTTCAATGGACATCGGGCATCCCTTGAAAAGAGGTTATCGGAGGCTTGTCTAACAAGGAAGGAAGGGAGGGGAAGACTCAAGCCCTTCCGAGTGGCCCGCGCCCCGTAACTACCGAGCATGCCCCCTTTAAGTCTCTGTTGTTTGGTCCGGATCGCCTTAAACTGGTATGAGAATCAGGTAGGTAACAACAAACTATTGCCTGGTTGCAATTTACCCGACATCTTGGTAGGCATTTGCCTTGGATACCCACCTCACCATGTACATGCCACGCCTGTAGGAGAGGTCGGTGAAAGGCAACATTCCTGCCAGGAAAAGTAATTTCTAGTCCGCAGATACGGCCTCGTTTTAGAGCGTAGTTGCGAAGTAATTGATGAGCGGGTTGAGTAAGCCGGCAGCAAAAAGGGTGTTCCTGGCGGCCCCTTCATTGGCCGCCTGTCCTGAACTCTGAGACGGATTATTAGCTCTGACTACAGAAATAGCACAGGCTAGTCAAAGTACCAAGGGGGATGATATGATGCTCACCACCGAGAGTCAACCTCGCTGTGGACTTTGTGGGTGTGGGGCGCTGAGGTGCAATGGGTGGAGGATGAGGCCATGGCGGGTCCCACACCCACACCCCCTTTTTAAGGAACCTAAAGGAAGGTGCCTCCTGAAAGGCTTCCTTCCTGCATGGCTGCCGGGGGGCTCCTGAGTGGTGGGAACAGGTGACACAGCGTACCCAGCGCCCCGCATCCTTACGTAAGGATCGGTCGCCCCCTGGACTCCCACAGCTGGAGGCACAATCTGGACAGGTGGCATTTAAAGGTCCCCTTCCACCCGTGATGCCCAGACTGTTCTGGTTCCTTAGGCTCAAGCACCTGGCTCTCAGGACACGCTGTTCTCATCAAGAAGACACTTCTTAGTCTCTTTTCCCATCGTCATTGAGTCACACACTCGCTTCATCGCCCCAGCGCTGACTCACACCCAAAGGTTGGATGGACTGCTGCCTGTCATGCAACAGTAGACATGCTGCCATTAAAGTGGCCTTGACCTGACAGTTCCCCCCCAAGAATTCATCAAGCGGCCATCCATCCACCCTATCCACACCTTATACACACAGCTAGACTTTGACCTGTCTCAGCCGTTACACAGATTGATCCTCCCCAGCGATCGTCGCACAGTAACATGGATAACTCACCAGCGGAGTCATTCATCTCCGCACCGGCAGAGAATCTTTCCTCTTTGTTTTCCACTCCCACATCTACAATCAGCCCTCTGGCAATGATGACTCCCACGTCTTCCGCCGAGGACCACCACAGCCCCGACCCTATGGGCGAGGAGGACGACATAAGCCCTCCATCATCCCCTGGCTCTGAGAAGAAGCCCACCAAGAAGCGCAAGTCATGGGGTCAAGTTCTCCCTGAACCAAAGACCAACCTGCCCCCAAGGAAACGGGCGAAGACCGAGGATGAGAAGGAGCAGCGCCGAGTGGAGCGAGTATTAAGAAATCGTCGTGCCGCTCAGTCATCCCGAGAGCGCAAGCGACAGGAGGTCGAGGCCCTGGAGAAGCGGAATAAGGAACTTGAGTCCCTCTTAGCTAATGCGCAGAAGGCCAACCTGATGCTCGTTGAAGAGCTCAAGCGCTTCCGTTCTGACTCCGGGGTCGTCACTCGAACATCCACCATGGACACATTCAAGGACAACCACCTGACTCTGTCGCCTGAACTCTTTGGGGCCCAGGCTGGTCAGGGCCTTGAGCCAACCATGAAGATGCTCGATGACCTCATCAAGCCTACTGAACAGACCGTCAATCCAGCCTCACTTTCCCCCCCACCGGAGTCTGGTGATATCAAGCAAGAGCCCTCACAAGAGGATCTGAATCAACCCAACGAGACCCAGATCCCAGTTCTGAACGCTGATGAGCAGACCGTCTCCACCGACATGACACAACGTCCTGCAGAGATGTTGTGCGACCTGCCGTGTCATTTGTCGATGGAGACGTCTCAGTCTCTCATCCCGTCTCAGACCTGGACATCTGCTCTATTGGCATTCAGTCTTCAGCTCAGGATGATGTTGCTTTCAGCTTCAACGATGCTTTCGGCCTGTCAGCGGCCATTAACACAGATCGCCATGTCCTCGAAAGCGGGCTTCTCTCTTCTCCCGAATCCACATATCTTGACGACGATCATCTGGCTGGTGACTCTGCCACCGGCTTCTTCCACCAGTCTACATTCGGACTCGACATCAACGAGATCCTCTCCGACGAAGCGAACAACACAGTATCAGACCTTATGGCAGCGAGCCACGACGCCGCAGCAGACTACTTCGGCCTCGAGCCGCAAATCTACGACTTTGAGACTCAAATCTCTTCGGAAAATCCTATCCAGCAGCCCCAATCTGGCGCGTCCTCTTTTGGATGCGACGATGGAGGCATTGCGGTTGGTGTCTGAAGGACGCGAGACTCAGGTCCGAGATTTGCTTAACGAGTCGAAGAAGACGCGCGAAGTCGATCGCCAGCTAACACAATGTTTGAGAAATATTGCTTTGCCTTCCAAGGAAGTACTCATGACCCTGTCATGGGCCCTAAAGGTCGAAATCCGAAAGTTGGAGAAGAGGCAGCAAGAAAGCGACGGCATGGTAGCAGTCTTTGGACCTGAGAGTTGCGTCCCTGATGACAGGAATTACCAACCAACCAAACACTATACTATTACATTAAAGGGGAAGAGACACGGAGTTGAAGATCCCAGCGGTAGTACGAAACGTCGCCGACTGGCTTGATTTTTTATTATAACGAGAAAAAACGATTTCTTTGACCAACGTTTTGAAAGGTCTATTGGAGCTAACTTGTTGAACTACGGGTGGTGAACTGGCGCAAAACGGACTGGTCTCCAGGATGGGACATGGCTTCATAGAAGGGTTATTGAAATCCCCTGTATCAACAAATACAACTTGTAAACCAAGCTCCTGATTGAATTATTTTCTTCGCTCTTTGTTCATTGTGATTGTGTATGAATCGCCCCCAACACAGACTCCTTTCCTGACCAACCAATTTAGTACTGAAGTAGGACCTAGTCTCCCTATCGTCTGAAATGCATTTAAGAAAGTCATTAAATCGTATTCATATTACCACATCTCTTCCATCTCCCGTAGTGCTGCCTCGTCATCAGCAAACTCGTCTTCTTGCTGCTTCGCTATGTTTGCCACTGGTTTTGATGGAGGTGGTTTTTGGCCAGCATCAAAGCTCTCTGCTTCAGCAATCAACGCATCCAAGTCTTCGTCTTCCAAGTCATCCGCGACTGGATTCTTCCTCGCCTTGTCATGATTGTCGGCTTCAGCCATAAGTGCCTCCAGCTCATTATCATCTGGCTGGTCGGGCCCGCCAAGGATCGGTACGTTTATTCTGGCTGCCCTCGGTGTGGCCCCATACAGATCATCATCGTCATCAGCCCCGTTCCTCCTCACGGTAGGTGTTGTCGGCCTTTCCATGCTTGCCCCCCCTGTGGTAGTCTTCGATCCCTGCGAAACACCAGCGTCGCCATCATCCAGATCCAGGAAATCAGCTGCAGTTGTCGGTTTTGGTGCACCGCTGTTGATCCATTCACTTCTTGCTGTCACGAGCTTCTTCTTATGGCCCGCCTTCTCCACCATCGCAAGGGCATCGAGGAATTTGGCCTTTGGAAAGAGGTCGTCGAGCCATAGTTGATAGAATGATAAAAGCCGGGCAGCGTCTGAGAACTCGTGGCCTTTGCCTTTGATCTTTAGCTTTCGTGCGCGGGTTTGCAGCTTCGGGATTCCAGCAGGGCCTAGCAATCTGTTGTTACAGGTCTGTTAGGACGATGATGCATAAACTTGGCCGGGTAAACTTTGAAGTGAAAGCCTCTACGCACCTGTCCTCATCAAGTTTGATATTTGGAACCCGCGCCCGTTTCTGAACCGCGACTTCTGTGTCAATCCCAAGGCCTGTGTCGGCTTCCTTTCGCTTTTTAGATGGTGGAGGGGTGGGTGTTCGGAATGGGTCGTCGGATAAGTCTCCCACGTCGTAGTTGTCGAGGTCATCGTGTGGTGCGGACGCAGTCTTGGACATGATTGCAGTTTCAATTGAGGCGAATTTAAATGGAAAGAGCAGCGAAATGCCAACGCCTGTACTGAACGGTCATATCATCGTATCTCATCACGACATTGGAGACATCTAGACGCGTCTCATTGGCGGTAGACGCGTCGACAGTTTAATGGGCAATTACATAAGCAAAAACGTGACAAAGCACGTGCGCAAGCTCCATCACATGACTAACCTTAGCCGAAGGTCAATTCGTCCATGCTACGACTTCACGATATAGAGATCTGATAGACGGACTTGCTTTCGGCAGAGGTATCGCAAAATGGCCGACACAACGACCAAACAGACGTTTGCGGGGCCTAGCAAGGCCATCCAGACCAAATATCCGGTACGCAGAGGCGGAATTGGTGCTTCAATGGGTGATTCAGCTACTGACGAATAGGATATAGCTCATTGATAATGACCCGTATGTGCTCCCCGAACAACCTCACGGCCTCGATACCCCGTTTCCCGAATCGCCGCGATGAATCGAAATCTATAGATGGAACGTATCGCATTAACTATTGGACTAGGCATTTTAAGCGCGTAGTCGGGTATGCCAGAACCTCCGACTATGTTGCTGGAGGTGCGGCTGCTGCCTTCGCCCCGGTAGCTCTCGCTACACTCGAGAGGTTTGCGCCCTCGCACGCCGGAAAGGGCGGTTTCCCCAAGGCCATGCGCCTCGCCGGATTCATCGGTCTGGCCGGTGGTTTCCTCTACTTCTACCAGCGCTCAGCCCGTACGATTTCCCCATTGCCCCGGCAGAACCCCCCTCCTGCAGGGAACATTTTGACTAACGGAGGATGAAAAAACTAGTGCGATTCTACGGTGCTACTGAGAACTCCAGGGAGGTCGAGCTGGATATGCGCGAGATGGTTGACCGGGTCAAGAAGGGAGAGACGCTATACGGCGAGAGCAGGTTGACTCCCCACATGCAGGGCGTTGCTGCCCGCCAGAGCAGATACTCAGCGCTCTTCATGGGCGTTGTGCCGTGGTTCAACTTCGTCAACCACAACCAGCACGGTGTTGATACTGCCAAGTACTACCAGCAGGCGGAGCGGGAGCTGGAGGCGGAGCGCCAGGCCAAGGCATAGAGAGGCCGACTTGTCGAACTATGTATAGTACAGTATTGGGGGAGGGGATCTTCGGGGAGTATAGCCTTGAGGGACTAGACGTCCTGTTCTTTTCCGTGTTGCCCGCTGAAAAAAACAAAAAGCATTTTCAAACTACATATATCGAATACCGACCATCTATTTTGTTATTCATATGTTAGCGCATCTTGTTTGGGGCAAATGGTCCTGGATCAATGGGGAGTCTTCTGTTCTTGATGGGCCGGTGTAAGTTGACAAGCCGTCGAGGTTTATGAGCTTTCCAGCTTCGGTGTTCAATCCAAGAGCATGACACTGGGATGGATCGCGACATGTTTGAGCTCGCCATACAACCACAAACTCTGCAAAGAGTTTGAAGAATGGGGCAACTATCCTATAAGTAAAGAATTTATCTAATCAACGGTGGAAGCATACACGATGCTCAACTTAATTCTGAGCTCTGAGTATTTTTTGAAGCTCCGGAAGATCACAATCAATTTGCATCATTTCTATTAATCTTTAAGGCACACTAGGTATCTTGATTCCGTAGAGACTGCTGCGCTAATCTAACTACCACTCACACATGACCATTGCTCGCAACAGCTGACCGAGTTAATCATCAGGTGATGGCCTAAGCTATCTCGCTGAGGTTGAAAGGTCAAGGCATGCGCACCATGTGGAATCAACTCTACTGAGATAGACAGGCGGTATTTCAACCCCATAAGATCATATTGCCTAGCCATGGATGCATCGGAAACGGACATGAAGGCTGATCGAGAATAACTCTCACAAGGGAGGGGGGGACGCCACCTAGTTGGCATGGCTCTTTGATCGCGGTTATCTGAAATCCTCCGTTCCCATACCTAGAGCAATCCAAGATCGATCTGTTACCCAAAGATAGAACCCCAGACGTGTGATCTGGAACCTTTTTCTGATAGGCCGTCTCCGATGGGCATCGGGCAGTTCCGACGATGCCAAGTCCAAGCTCATCAGCATCTGGACCGAAAAATTTAGCGCAGCCACTGAAAGACAGCGGATTAGTTCTAATTATGCAAATTACCCCGCCCCCTCATTAGAGATGGAGGCTTCTGACCGTTGCGGTTGCACAACATGGGAACTTTGTCATTTGACTCTATGCAGCAGGCACTTTTTCTTCGTTCCTTCCTTTTTGATTCTATAGCTAGTTCTTGGCGGGGTTCAATTCATATCTTTTTTCTTTTCTTTCACTTTCCTCCGCTACTAAACTCGACTTGATGCTTGCTTTTCCATCGTGAACTCGGATCTTATACCATCTAATTATTTATTTTTATCCCATCGCAGCTCTCCCAGTTGCGCCGAAACTGCCAACATGCCGGACATGAACCTCCCCATCATCGACCTCGACGTCTACCTCAACAACCCCCTCGACTCAGCCGCGGTTCAAGAGGAATGCCGCCGAGCCGCCGATGCTCTCATCACCTATGGCGCCTTGGTCCTGCACGACTCTCGCGTCTCCGAGACCGACAACACTTCCTTCCTCGACCTCCTCGAAGACTACTTCGCCCAGCCAACCGAGCTGCTGCAGAAGGACGAGCGACCTGAGCTGAGCTACCAGGTCGGCGTCACCCTCGACAACACAGAGAAGCCAAAGTGCGCCGTCGACGAGCCCTGCCTGGACGTAATCAAGAGGCTAGACCCGGACCAGAGACCTCTAGACATCAGCGCCCACTCGCCCGACCCCAAGTGCCGCTTCTTCTGGAGGATGGCCGAGATTCCCCCATACGAGACCGTCTTCCCCGGGCTGAACGCGCCAAACGTTGTCCCCCAGGCAGACCACATCAAGGAGAGATGGGAACCCTCTATGAACAAATGGGGGTCTTCGATGAAAGATTCGTTCGTACTACCCCTCGGGTCCTTGTCGCATCTCAACTATGTTGCTGACCATGTCTTGTAATAGTTGCTCGAGACTTGCCGAAATGGCAGCCGTTGGATTGGGTCTTGCCCCGGAGGCTTTCTCCGAGGCTGGGAAATACGGGTTCGTTGCGCCCGAAGCACCATTATTACCTGCTTCATTGGTTCGAAATAAAAACACTCCTAGCTAACCTTGAGCGCAGACCCCATCTCCTGGCTCCCACCGCCTCCGATCTCGTAAAATACGGCGCCAAAGACACGATCCTCGCCGGCTTCCATACCGATCTAAACTTCCTCACCATCCACGGCCGTTCCAGATACCCCGGCCTGAACGTGTGGGCGCGCAACACGGGCCGCCGCATCGCCGTCAAGATCCCCCCCGGCAACAATCTTCTCGTCCAGGCCGGCAAGCAGATCGAGTATCTCACCGGGGGACTCATCAAGGCCGGGTTCCACGAGGTCGTCATCAACGACAGGACGATCGAGACCATCGAGAAGCGCAAGGCTGAGTTCCCCGACCGGCCCCTGGTGCGCATCTCTAGCACCCTCTTCTGGCACCTCAACTCGGACTTTGACCTGGTGCCTATCCCTGCGCTGGCGGAGAAGGCCAAGCAGGTCAGGGCGGAGCAGCTCAGCCTGGGCAAGGACGAAGGCGCGGAGGCCCAGTACCCCCCCACCAAGGTTGGATACCAGGTCCAGAGCGAGCTGAAGCACATCGCGTTGATGGCGTAAGTGTGGCAAGGTATTTCAGGTGGTACTACGGTTCCACGAAGTGAGGTGGGGAGAAGATACACAATGAATGATATGACCTGATGTTTCTGCATTTGTCGAGATACCATGAAAGAACAATATCAGCGTACGGGAATCATATGGAGCGTGTGTGTCAGTATATACGTTATACCACATGTATCAAATGTCACAAGGAGGGGCAGCTGGCAAGATTTCCCCACGCGCCCCTCGCAGTTTTCCCCATTGTCAAGATAAGTTCAATTGATTTGTATTAGGTGTATGAACACTGACTGTAGCCTGCGAAACCTTTTTTTTTTAAAAAAACAAATCTGACAGCACTATGAAGGGAATCAATGCGCGTCTCTCGTCATGTCGTGTTTCGCATAGCCACATATCCTAAAGTATACTTTGTGTGTGTACCGGGGCCTATTTAGGCCACTCATAATAGCCCCCAACAGCAAAGAGCTGTATCCTATCCTGCCGCCCCAACTACTGGACCTCCTTGGCCTTGCTCTGATCCGCGAGGCTGGGTTCGGGCGCAGCGCCCTGGTCGGAGACGCTGCCCTTCTCCTTGCCCTCGGCCGTCTGCACAACGGTCTCTGTATCCGTGTCTTCCTGTTTCCAAAAGTCCTTCTTGCCCTTGGAGAGGCGCACGAGCCAGGGAGGGAAAAAGCCACCGGGGATGCGCCAGGTCCAAGGCTCTTTGTCCTCGATGTTGGCCGGGACGATCCTGCCGCCGGAGGCGAGGCGGATCAGCCAGACGAGGGTGTTGATGAGGATGTAGGAGCAGACGCCCCCAATAAGGCCGTCGGCGATGGAGTAGCAGAAGGGCATCAGAACGATGGTGAGGAAGGACGGGATGGCGTCGCCAATGTACTTCCAGTTGATTTCGGTGACTGAGGAGACCATCATGGAGCCGACAAGGATCAGCACGCAGCCGGTGGCCCAGGGCGGGATGGAGGCGAAGATGGGAGCGAAGAAGACGGAGATGAGGAAGCAGAGACCGGCAACCATTGCGGTGAGACCGGTCTTGCCACCTTCGGAGATGCCGGCACCGGACTCGACGAAGGCAGTGACGGGGGGAACACCAAGGATGGCACCGATGGAGACGCAGATGGCGTCGACCATGTAGGCGATAGAGGAGCCCTCGAAGTCCTGGGTGACGGGGTCGATGAGTCCAGCGAAGCGGGCCATTCCGTAAAGGGTACCTGTGCAGTCGAGGATGTCGACGTAGAGGAAGGTAATGAGGGCGAGGCCGAATTGGCCGCCGTATTCCGAGAT